CGTTCGTCTGTCCGTCCGTTCGTGCCTCTTTCGACCGTCTCACTATGTCTGCCGTAACCCTCCCCCCGTTGCTCCATGCTATCCGCTTTGCGTTTTCTCTTTTTCTCTCGGTCGCGCTCCTCTTTCGCTCTCGCGAACACTCGATCCGTCCCGAGTTCCTTTCGGCCACATATTTCCCCTTTTTCTCATAATCCTGCGAGTTAGCGCGATTCCACACACACTCGACAGACGCTGATATATTCGTTCAGATATTTCATTTGGAGTATCTTATTTGTATCTCAGTTTAATGTTATTTAGAGTTTACGGTAAATATGTTTCGAGATAATCGAGTCTAGTATTTGTTTGTATCGTGTTATATCGACTAAGATTGCTCACGAGTTCATTAAGCCCCACTGAATCAAGGTTCTACATCTTTATCTACTATTCTTAAAGATGACCGGAAGTGGAAACATTCTTCTCTTCGACAAAAGATATTTTATTTTTGTTCCATTTCCTAAGTAGACCGATACAAAGTTTATTTTTAAGTTCTATCATCAGCAAGCACGTTATTATTGTCGAAAATATGTTACTGATATAAATTGTGGAATGTTAAACGTACTACATAAGCAAAAGCATTGACCTTTAAATCGAAACATTTCTTATGAAACATGGATACAATAATAATTATATGTTGCATATTTGTATTTTTATATCATTATACATTTGTGAGAATAGATAGTGTTATAACACGTGGAATAAATCAATGTCTAACTTTGTAAGCTGTACATTAATTAAAGCTATTTTTACATTATACACTTCAGGAAAAATGTATTAGACATCTTGAAGGTGTTTTAAGAAATTTTAAAGCTGTTTCTAACTGGGAAAATCATCGAAGGACACAGTTTTTCTAAGAAAAACAATAGTTTCTTTGTAAGAAACTATTGTTCTTTTATTCTTAAAAGCATTTTTTAACATTTATTTCAATAAGACTCCAAATATAATATTTCAAGGTTTTCAGTTTTGTAGTGGCTAAATATTCGAATTCTATCGGAGAAACAAATACAATCTCACTGTTAAATTATTCATCATTCTATTCATTTTTGCACATATTTTTATGCGACGGTTCAAGGATTATTATAAGTTTAGCTAAATATATTCTCTTGTTTCTCATATTTTATGAATAAAAGTGGGAGATCGACAAGTCGTGGAATTAACGTGAGTTGTAAACGTTATGGTATTTAAAAAATGCGGCGTGTAACATTCATGGCAAGGTAATTTCGCGAAGTGAGCGTTAGAACGAACTCGTGAACAGAGCGAGGGGAAAGGGGACAGTTGGGGTCGAAAAAGATGTCTAGAAAGGCATGCGTCTCGCTAGACGAGAGGTAGGAATTCGGCGACGAATAGTACGGTGTTGCAAGTTGCAACGGCGTTCTCTCGGTTGTACACGTTGCTAATTTTAGTTTGGAACCTGAGACGCCAAATGCTAGAAATTCAATGGGCATCCCACTGTCCCTTGCGGGGTCAATAATTAATCCTTCAAAAACTCAGAAGTCAATCCCAAAAATTGGAGAGTCAAAAAACTTTGTCGTCTTAGTCTGAAAAAATATTCTTTTATTCTTATTAAAAGAGAATTTTTAGAAATGTAGGAGATCAACTCCTCAAGTATTTCAAAACTTTCAAATTGACGCCACCGTTAGATTTGATCGAAGAAAGAAACATACAACCTTATCGTTGAAACAATTTATCAATAAACTATTTTAATTTTTGCGAAGATTTTTACATATTGACGATATTTAAAAGCGCATTATTATGCGCTTTTAACAATAGAGTATCATGGAAATGCCACGCGAGGTTCACTCTTGTTTAACGCAACTATCATCGTCGTCGTCGTCATCGTCGAGGAGAGGTTATCGGGCACGATGAACGAGTTCAAGCTACTTTGCCGTGATCGTTGTCGTCGGGAGGAGTCATTGTACAAAACAGCTGTTCATCTCTGGCGACGAGCACTGTCTCGATTTAGATTTCTTTTATGCGCACGTTTTCTTTTCTGCCGCAGTGCGATAATGGGACAATTCTTATACCGGGTGACTTGACGTTCCCGTCATGCTTTTGGAGCGCTTTGGACTAAATATTTCAACAGATCCGATTTGATTTTGTTAATTTGATTGTGTTTAATGGAGGTGCATGCGAGGCCTAGTTTTCAAATACGTACGTACAACTCACTCGGAGAAAACAATAGTAGTAGCAACTATAAAGATGACAACTAGGCAGGTAATTTTATATGTAAAAGTAACGTAAATAGTCGAATAAACTGTTTTATAATTATTGCAGTTATATAATATTATAGTTTACTCAATTATGTGTGTGTATTAATTCTACCCTCTCATAGTTGTTACCTTTATAGTTGCTATCATTATGTTTTTTTTTCTGAGTGTAGATGAGTTTTGCATGTTAACTAAAGTCAGTCGACGTAATGTATGTAGTAAATAAAGTGAATCCGTAGCGTATGTAATAAAAAAAGTCGTAATTAATACATTGACGCGAGGAGGATCACTATTTATGATGCAGTACGAGACTTAATAATAATTTAATGCAAATAGCAATTTAACGCTCGCTAAAAATAATCTATAATCAAGCAATATATACATTTAGAAGTTAATCATGAAACTGTGATGATGACGAAATAACTTTCCGTGAGAAATGCGAAAAACGCGTCGAGTAATTAAATCTTTTCGCACCTCGTTCGCTCGTAATTGGTTAGATCACGCATTAATTGCCGCGAGATAATATGCAATTAATGAGCATCGCATCATGATATCGGACATGTACCTTGCACTTTGTAACGCGTACGCATAAATGCATGTGTAAACGTGCGAATGCAAAAGGCTCCCGTGATACGAGATCTTATTATATCTTTTTAATCCAACAATCCCAAGAATAGTTCGATTTTGTGTAACGATAGAAATATTGCTGGTGTAAAGAAAAATGTTGGATCCTATATTTTATAAACGAGACTAGGGTTCTGCTTGAAACATTTTAAAACAGATAACATTGAGACAAAGCAATATCGGAATTTAAAGTTCTGTTTATGAGTTTAATCAGTGGACTATACATCTATGCATACGAAGGAAAAAAAAGAAACGTTATCGTGAGTGCACTTTGCTTCTTCGAATCCATGGTAATCGATTGTCATCGGAATCACGTTGAGGTTCGAAGAATCGCCCGATAAGATCGGTCGCATATTATCGCATACCGGTACAAAAAACCCCTGGTTTCTTTCTTTTTATCGCTTTTTTTTTTAAACAGATAGCCGTGTACCTATTTTGTTTGCGTCCTTATCGAAGGTGCTGATAATACAATCTCACTTTGACTAAATAAACGTAAGATAAAGAGAAAGCGAACGCGCGCGGATTTCCTTCGGGTTTGAAAGTCGCCTAACGACGAGCTAATGTCTTTCCGAGCTACTCGTCGACACAACAGAACCGTTATCTCCTCGATTTTCCGATCTTCTCACAGTCTGTCGCGCGTCACTGTCGCTATGCGATATTTTTTATCGCTTTCTAATACACAGTGGTGATAAATAATAATCGTACAGTTGCGTTTAATGGTTGGAAGTTTGTTTGCGGCGAGAACATTTTTATAAAAGTTAACTTTTCGATTTCCAGATAATTTTCAAGTGTTTATCTTACGATACAGTTTTTAAAAGAGACATTTTTATTAAATTGCCTACATTTTTCCACCATATTTACACATTTTTACATCTCTCTCCTGTTACACGAAATTTGGTGTTTTTTTTATTTCATCAAGTTCGATATTGCGCGAGATTTCCTAGTCGGACTGCAAATTGAACGTGCTGGAGAATCGTTCGTTATTGTCGTTGTTTAAACGTGCGTTACAATGCGTACAAATGCGTTCAGCGTGCTTGATTCGCACTTTGTTTTACTGTGGATTTTTTTGTCGACCTGCATGTAATCATCGACGGGCGTGACGAGCGATGAAACTGCCGGGGATAATCAAAGATGGTAGCCATCTTTTCGTACTTTAAACTCTACTCGTCAAATATTTAATCAAGATTCTCGAGGAGCGATTCT